TGGGCTACTGACAGACTTCACTGGTGAGTCCTCCTTTGGGGTTTTACACCTGGCTGGAAAGGGTTCAGGTGTGCAGTCCTGCTTGTTTGTGTGAAGCGAGATGGAGTAATTCAGTCCACCTGGAAAAGACTCTTTGTTTGGTTTTAGTGTGCTGTTCCAAGAGGATGGCTAAGTCTCACTAAAATGATTTGCCTTTTACTATTGCTGCAGGAATACTGCTGGAGTTGGCTTGTAAACCTTTCAGGGGTTCCCACTCTCTTTGCAGGGAATGCTTAAATGTTTTCAAAGATAACCTCACGCTTCTGTTGCGTGCACCATCTGGAGTAATTTGCACAATATTCTGTGGTGGCAGAGTGTTGTGCTTCCACGTGCCACTGCAGCGGATAAAGCCGGAGAGTGGGCTAGGAAAGAAGGGAGTGGGGATAACAAAGATGAGGTAAGCATAGCAGAAGACCCTCAGTGGTGCTGCAGTTAAATGGAGAGCCAGAAGAGTGCCATTCACCCAGAAAATGGCAGCTCTGGGTGTAGATGCCATAGCCCTTCGCTGTTTATGCTACTTCTGTTGGAAATTGCTCCTTCCAAGGTAGAGGTGAATGCCTGCTGTCCTGTTCGTGGCCCGAGCTGTTGGGGTTGCAGTTTAAGTACTTGCTTAGCATTAATTGCACTGATGAGTGCCCGCAGTGTTTTGGTAGGGCTCACATAAACAGCTGGGCTGGCAGAACAGTGGAAGAAGCAGCTCTCTTCCCACTGACAGAGCTGGAATAGGAGAGCTGTCTGCCAACCTGCTATGGCAGGTTAATGGAGTTAAAAAGTACCAATATGGAGAGATAATTGGGATAGACTTGAAATAAAAGCAGCAGAGCGTGCTTGCATGCTTTCAGCCTCCCATTTACTGCCGAAGCATTGGCTGATGTAAACGAATAAAAGCATCTAAATTTTTCATCTGTCAAGACTTGGCTGCCTATATCTGTGGAGAGAGACTTGATGTGAACAGCTTGAACCATGGAGGTACGGGTTCCATTTGGGCGATGGAAGAAACAGCGGGGCGGCTTTGGTAGGATCTTGTTATCAATCCATGCCCGTTACGCTTGGGCTGATGTCTGTAACGTGCTAACGCGGAGCAGCCGAGTGTTATTCGCGCAGGGAAGAGTTGGAACGTGCGGTACCGTCCCCAGCTTCAGCTAGAGAAAACAGAATGCTTGGGGCTGAAGGCATAAACAAGGAACTCCAGGCACCTTTCCTACTCAGCGTATTGCGCATCGATCAGAACCCTCACTAAGGCGTTTGCTGTAACGCGCAACGGGAAACTCCTGGTTAAGGCTCTTTTGCTGCTTGAACTCGGTTCTTTACCCTTAGAAATGTAATTCTCTGGAATTTGGCAGTGTGTTGGGAATTAAGAGCAGTGCCAGTTACAGTCCTGTGGATTTGTGTCTCTTGGGCTGCGGTTCCGCATAG